ATGGAAGGCTCAGTGCTCAGAGATGAGGTGCCTTGGAGAGCTTGGGCTGGGCTGCAGTTTGGCCACTGCTCAGTCTGCCTCACAGCGCTGGAGCTGGAGATCTTATGAGCTGCCTTAAGCTCATGAGATATGTTTATATATTTAATATATAAACACTTGTGTTTATATGTTATACTACAAAAACAAAGCGGCAAAAATAACCCAAAGGAAAGAAGCGAAGCCCCAGCCAAACCAGCCTGTCCTTTTGTTTTCAGCACAAGTTGTGGGCTGAGTAAATTACATCAACAGTTTATTTGTGCCCAGCTCTAGCCTTGAATGTTGAAAATAGAATGAGCTGGGGTATTTGGAACACTTGTGCTTGGGAAACCAATGAAATGTTTGTTATGACAAAACTTCTGAATTTTTCCTGTTTTGACAGATAGACTCCATTTCTATAAAAAGAATAATCAAAGGTAATTTATGACATGGTTTAGCGAAGATTGGTAAAACCTCTCATTTAGTATTGTGCACCTGAACTTTTCAGCTGGTTTCTCTTTGCAGGCTGATGCTCTCCCCTCCCTCAGCACATGTGACTGAAATGACAATTTCTGTTGGCCTGGGGTGGAGGGCTGTGGCTGGAACTTGGAGCAGCTGGGCTCCCCAAAGCTGCTTGACATTCTCTTGTGTGAGCTGTCCAACTGGAGCCCACACTCTTGTGGAGAGGCCAAATTCCAGTGATGTTTTGGGAGGCTTTGTGTCAGAGTGCTGCTTTGAATCCCAGCCTTCCCTCTGCCGGTTCTGCTCTGCATTATCTCCTTGGCCCTAACAAAAAGCTTCCTTGAGGTGTGTGACCTGCAGGCTGGATGGACACACCCTGGGATGATGCTTCCTTCCCTGCTGCTCCAGATGTGCCAGCCTGCTCTGCCACAGAGGCTGCAGTGCCATCAGCAGCTCCAGCTGGGCTCTGGAGGCAGTGGGTGATAAAAGGGGTTTAAAATCAGTGTTCTGTTGGCAGGGGTGGGGTGGTTGAAAGCAGCCAGGCTGCTCAGAGAAGCCCTGTGTCCCTGGCAGCAGAGGGGCTTTTTGGGGGTGATTGATTTTTGGGGGGATTTGGGGGTGATTTCCCTGCTGTGGGGTTTGGGGGTGATTGATTTCCCTGCTGTGGGGTTTGGGTGCTGCTGGCTGAGCCATGCTCCTGGCACAGAGGGAGCAGAATTCCCTTTTTCTGGGCAGGCAGCGTGCTGGCAGGCTCGGTTTGGTGGCACTGCTGGTTTTTGGGAGCTCCAGCCCGGGGTGGTGCCTGTGCTCCCTGTGCACAGCTGCTATTTTTGGGTGTTTATTAGAGCTGCGGGTCTAATGGGCTGGGGCACGTGGCTCTGGGGGTGGGTTGGAGCTTTCTGGAGTAAACTGCAGCACGTTTCAGCCTTTCTGAGCACTTTTCTGAGCACTTTGTGAGGGCAGGAGCAGTCCTGCTGCGGGCATGGGCAGCCCTGGCTCTGGGCTTGCCCTTGCCTGCGACAGGAATAACTGGCCAGTCAAATATCAGGCTTGTAATTAATACTTCCTTCAGTTAAAATAAGCTGTAGTGAAGTTGCACGAGTGTTCTGTGTCCTTCGTTTGAGCTGGTTTTTCTTTCATTTGACTTTTTTTTTTTTTTCGTTTGGTCTTCACTTGATTTGATTATATTGATATTGTGAAAAGTCAGGTCCAGGAAGGCACAGAATATTCAGCACTTGCTGAGGACTCTGCTGAAAATTGCAAGTTTTAAACTCCATGTAAAGCCCTGATTCCCTAGCTTCTCTGCTGCTTTGATGCATGTCCAGGTGCTTTTATTAGTGGGAAAGGAACCTGTCAGTGATCAGTGACAAAACCAGCCAGCTTTGCATCAAGGGGTTTCCTGCTGCTAAAAAAGCAAAGCTAAAGGTAAAAGATGAAAAATGTGAATGCTGGGCTTCATAAAGCTGTTCCTACCCCTCTGGATGTAATCAACCAAAAATCTTTGGTTTATTCTTGATACCATCACTGTTCCCTCACCTCTTTTGAGCTTGAGCATTTGGGACAGGCCATGCTGTCGATATGGACTCGTTCTGTTCCATGGATTTTGCATCAGGGAATCCCCTGAACCACGCAGTGGGAGAGGCAATTGTGGCACTTGAGGCACCTGAGGAGAATTCTGCCTTAGATCTGAGTGCTGGCACCTGCTAATGAGCCGTTAATTATCACCACCAGATGCACTTGTGCCTCCTTCAGAAGTGCTGGGGGTTTAACAGCTGAAGTAATTAGGGACACTATCAAAACCCCAGTCTTGTTAAGGGGAAATAGGAATTCTTTGGATTGAGGAGCTTTGCCAGGAGAGGAGTTAACCCCAGAGGTGCTGGAATCCCAAACTGGGAGGAGTTTGGTGCGAGCTCAGGCAGAGGGCTTGGGCAGTGGAGAGGCTCTGCATTCACTTCCTCACTGGCTTTTATTGATTTACTTTTATTTCCTGCAGCTGTCATAACAATGTTTGGATAACAAGTCCCAAAGGACCGAGTAAACTTCAGCTGTGCACTCTGGGGCTGAGCTTTAGGGGCTGATTTTGAGCAAAATGCTCCATTAGCAGAAAGTGAAGACATTGCTGTTTCCTTCATTCCAAATCCTAGCCTAAATAGGGTTATAGCCTAAATCCTCTGCTATAAGAAATCTGCTGTTCATGTCTTTAGATATTGCTCAGGTCAACTTGAAGGGTTTTCCCCATTGCTGTCTCCTCTGCTCGCAGCTGTGAGTGGAAGCCTTGGCAGGGTGAGGATTTGTGTGTTTTGGGCTCAGTTTTGGGTTCAGGTGGCTGCAGCAGGGGATCACAGCCTCCAGAGAGTTGAGTTTGTTTTAACAGTAAATATCTCCTCTCTCTGTGGGAACAGGTCATGCTTTGGGGCACATCCTGGGCCACATGCTTTGGGCCATTTAGGAAAAGGGGTCCTGGGTGGGTTCCAGGGCAGGAGGCAGGCTGCCTTTGCAGATAGCAGCGAAAAACATCCTAAAGGGTTGCACTGAATACTGCTTGGGGTGAAAATCTGTTTAATGCTGGTACAGAGCTTTCAAAATATGGGCTTTTCTCAGTTCAGCCTTGAGAAGATGATTTAAATGAAATGAAGCACAGTATGGACTGAAAATGAGTGTTTGCTTCCTGAGGGTTTGTCGTATTCCTGCTCACTTTTATTTCCCACAACAGTTTCTCTGCTTACTTGCTTTCTGTCAGTGACCACTGGGGGAAAACCACTGCTGTTTTTGTGACTATTGTTTGAATAATTTTGTGAATATATTGATGTGTTTGAGCTGTGTCTTGCCTGCTGACATAATCCATCCTTTGTGCAAGATCACCTTCAGTGTTTGTGTGTGCTGCAGCCCGGCTAATTCTCCTTTTCTCCTGTTTTTTTGTTTTCTCCAGGGGATCTACACGTACCTGGAGAGGAACTTTTCAGACTTTAAGCAGAGAGGCTTTGTTGTTGGATATGACACACGAGGTCAGGTCACCAGCAACTGCAGCAGTAAGAAGTATGAGTATTGATTACATCTGCAAGACTAGAAATGAAATTGTGGCTTTGAATGCTTTCTGTCCTGTCAGCACTTTGTCTTTGGGTTTGGGATGAGCTGGGCACCCTCTTTCCTCTCCCTTATCCATTGGATCAGTAATGAGGAGAGGCTGGAGCTGAATCCTTTGTTTGCCAGCTCAGGAGGAGTATAAGGCTGCTTGCTTTCTACCAGGGAATTTACAGATTAAATGCACAGGATCATTAGCCTTGATGTGCCTGGGGAGAAACTGGAGCATGAAGGTAAATTCAGAGTATGAACATGCAGCTGGAAACCCCTGGATATTAATGCACTTTTTACACTCTCATTCTCTGGTATTTCACACCTGGTTTAAGCTTGCCTGGGGAGGGCAATTCCACCTGCAGCCTGCTGTAACTCTGTGTATTTTCATTTTGAGGGGATTTTACCTGGAATACTCAAAATGTGGACTTCCAGCAATGGCACACTGTGCTCCTTGCAGGGAAAGGGGAGCAAACTGCTTCCTGAATTTTCTCAGGAATCACAATCCCTTGTCACTGGGGAGCAAAGCCCATGTGGGTGATGGCATGCTGTGCAAAAAGCCAAGCCAGTAGCTAATTAGTGTTCCAATAAAGAGGAGTTAATGATTGTAACTAACAGTTCTTTTCCTTTTTAAATGTAGCAGTATTTAATGTTTTTATTTAATGCTGCTGACACTGGAACTCCCTGGGGAGCTGGGTCTGTCCTTGTGTTGTGTGTCTGTGTGGGATTTCTGCTTTGTTACCTGGGGGGATGCCCTGCCCAGCAGCAGCAGCAGCTGGAGGTGCTGGCTCACCTTCTGCAGCTGAGAGCTCTGACCCTCACTGTGCCCTTTGTAGGACACCACTCCAGGCACAAGCCAAAAAGCACAAGTGCCTGGAGGTGGCAGGAATTCCATCTGGCTCTTGGGCTGGGCTGACTGGGTGTTTTCTTTTTCCCCTTGGTAGGCTTGCAAAGCTCACTGCAGCAGTCCTGCTGGCCAAGGATGTGCTTGTGTACTTCTTCTCCACCTATGTCCCTACTCCCTTTGTGGTGAGTCACCTTCTCATCCTGTTGTTGCACCACACACTTATGGGAGTATTTGAATTTACTGAAGAAGAGAGCTGGCAGTTTTCTGAAATTCTGTGATTTAACAGAAAAACAGAGGCTGCTTGGCACACCTGGCTCCTCAAGGAGGTTGTAACAAGGATGTCACCAAATTCCTCAGTGCCTCTGCTTTTAATACCTCAAAACCAGGCTCTTCTGGTCACAGCAGCTTTTCCTGGCATGGCTTTAAATCCTTGCTTGCATTCCATGAGCGTGCTGTGTGTCCTTGCTTTGAGGGGATGGACTGGAGTGCCTGCAGAAACTGTGACTGGTTTTCCAGCAAGCCTTTCTGTGAATCCCTCTGTTCTGTGTCCGAGGGCTGCACAATCTGAGTTGTAGGCTTTTGGGTGGCCAGTGAAGGATTGCATTTTGGTAATTGTGGTAAAGAAGGTTTTCATGGGGCGGAGTTAGCGCCAGCGTTGTGCTGCTGGTTCCAGCAGGGCTGGGGCAGGGCTGGGGCCCCGGGTGTGGGGCAGGGCTGGGCTGAGCTGTCCCCGGTTCCCTTGCAGCCCTACGCCGTGCAGCAGCTGGGGGCCGTGGCAGGGGTGATGATCACAGCCTCCCACAACCGCAAGGAGGACAACGGCTACAAGGTGAGTGCGCCCTGGAGCCCGGCCAGGGACACCTTCCCCTAGCCCAGGCTGCTCCAGCTGGGCCCTGGAGCCCTGCGGGGTGTGCCAGGGCTCCCCTTGCTGTGTGTGTGTCCATTAGAGGGGTAAGTCATGTGAAATAACTCATTCTCCCACAAGCTGTCGCACTGGTCTGTGGTGAGAGATAACAGCACACAGTTTGTGTCTTGGGCATCAATCTCCAGTGCAATCCCACAGAGCCTAACCAGCAGCTGAAGAAGCGCCCCAGCTTTGTGTGTTTGCTGCTGAGGCTTAGAACTCACTTTAAAGCTAAGCCAGAGCTGAGGTGGATCCATGCACACAGCAGGGCACTGTGCTGAAGGTGGGGATGATTGAAGAGTGGATCAATAAAACACAGGAGCATTGGCTTTATTGGTTTTTTGGGCACTGCAGAGGGGTGGGTGGCTGCTCTTGGCAAGCTTGGGACAGTAAAGCCATCCACAATAGCAGGTGCAGTGTTTTAACTGAGCATGTCCTGCCTCAGCTGTATAAGAAGCTGAACCAAACTCTCAACTCTAGCTGAGCATTCTAGAAGCCCTGGGCAGGTCAGTGAGTGATGGCAGTGTGAGGGAAGGCAGAGAGAGCTCCTGGGGGTGCTTGAGCTGCTCTTGCCTTCCCTGGAACAATTGTGAAGCTCTTCACCAGCCTTTGTTTGTGCTGAGCTGGAGCAGGGAGTGAGGAGAGAAGGCACAGGCATTTCCCAGGTGCTCCATTTGTCAAGAAGCAATTTAATGTTTGTGTCTTCTGATAGAAACGTACTGGAAGTTTGCAAACATGTCATCAGTTCACAAAGAAGTAAACAGCAGTTTGCTTTTGCCATGATCCTGGTGTGTTTCCTGGTTGATTTGTGCCAGGACCCTGGTGTGTTTCCTGGTTTATTTTTGCCATGATGCTGGTGTGTTTCCTGGTTGGTTTTTGCCATGCTCCTGGTGTATTTCCCAGTCTTTCCCAAGAGCTGTTTCATCTTTCCCAGTTTCCCATATGAATTCCATGGTTCTGAAGGCTTTGGGCAGTGCCAGCTGGAGGTGGCAGACGCAGAGGTGAGCAGGCAGAGGCGGATGATGGAGCAGAGTCTGCCCCGTGAGCTCAGCCTGTTGGCAGCAGAGTGTGGGAAAAGTGGCCTCTGAGTCGGTAACAAAGGCTTTATTATAGCTGGGGTTAGATATGGAGTTTCCACTCTGGAGGGTGTTTGCAGCTGGGAGATTGGGCTGTTCAGATGTGGAAAAACAGACCTTGGCACCCTGCTTATCTGCTCTGCTCTGGGCTCAAAGCCAGGCTGTGTTCCTCTCTCCAGAGGAATGCCAGCCTTGGGGAAGGTGGTGTTTTCCCTCTGCTAGTGTGCACAGCACTCCCACATACAAGTGCCTGCTTTTGGTTTCTCACATCCTGACATTTCAGCTGTGATAGTTCAACACCAGCTTTTGAGAAAACAGTTGTGTTGCTGTGTTAGCTCCATTTATCAGTTGTGAGCTCAGAAGTTGATGCTGGATGACTCCAAATGTCTTGAGCATCAAGCCAGTCTGATGCTGAATCCTCTGTATGGCTTAGAAGCAAAGTAGGTGGAATCCTTTAGCTCAAAGAATTTATCAGGTTAATAATCTTTGCATTAAACTGAGTGTTGTTTTCCTTCCTCTTACCCCAGGTTTATTGGGAAAATGGAGCACAGATCACCTCTCCTCACGATAAGGAGATTATAAAATGCATAGAAGAGTGTGTGGAGCCATGGAATGGCTCTTGGAATGAAAACCTGGTGGACACCAGTCCCCTCAGGCAGGATCCTCTGAAGAAAATCTGTGACAGCTACATGGAGGACCTGACCAAGATCTGCTATCATAGGTATGGTATAAAGCAAAAAAGTTATGTTTTTAAGTCAGCTCTGGGTTGCATGTGGAAAAACTGACTGCAGACAGACTCCCCTGTGCTCTCTGAGGTGTCATCAAATTCAAGGGTCACCATCCTCAGGGTTAAACCTTTTGGTTGAGAATAATAATGAGAATAATCCGCCTTTGGGAATTAAGTTACTGTGAAACATCCCAGTGGAAACCATTTAATGCAAGTGAATGTGCTCTGAGAGTTCTGAATAAAATGCAGAGATTCAGAGTAAAAGTGAGGTGCACATGCATAAATAGATTGAGTCTGAAGGTTAGGTGGGGCAGAGGATGAGAATGAAAGGAGGAGGATGGATGGCTTGAAGCAGAGTTGGAATAACATTTTAAGGTGGTGGAAGAGCTTGAGTTTGATGTAGAAATCAACAGTTTATTCTTGGGAGACTTTGATCTGTCTCAGCAGAAGGTAAACACTTCATCTTCCAGGAGAAGCAGCTTCAACCCAGCGATTTCTAGTGCAACATAAGCACTTTGTGTGATTCCTTTGAAACGAATGCAGCCATCAGCAGGGCAGTACCCGGAGGAGTTGCAGTTTGCTTGGCCTTCCCTCATTAAGCAGTGTTGTTGGGGACTCAGGGGTCCTGCTGAGGCCGTGTTTCCCCCGCAGGGAGCTGAACGTGCGGAGCAGCCTGAGGTTTGTGCACACCTCTTTCCACGGCGTGGGCCATGACTACGTGCAGATGGCCTTCAGAGCCTTTGGCTTCCAGCCCCCCATCCCAGTGCCCGAGCAGAAGGACCCCGACCCCGACTTCTCCACGGTCAAGTGCCCCAATCCTGAGGAAGGAGAGTCTGTGCTGGTATGCTGGTTTCTGCTCCATCTGATTTCTGTGGGGAGAAAACAATCTGAGGGAGGGAACAGGGGGAAATCCATGGGGGGTTTCTTTTAGATGTAAGTTGGAAGGCTGTGGGTTTATTTACTCTTACATTTTGGTGTTTTTTGTCCCTCCTTCTCCCCCCAGGAGCTGTCACTGAGGCTGGCAGAGAAAGAAGATGCCAGAGTAGTGGTGGCCACTGATCCAGATGCAGATAGACTGGCAGTGGCAGAGCGGCAGGACAAGTGAGTGGTGGGACCCTCTCTTGTGTCTTCCTGCAGAAAAGGTGGTGGCAGTCACAGAACATCCCCAAATTGCCAGGCACAGGACTTCAATCCACTCTTTTCCTTCTTCCTTTGGGTTTTACCCATTGGTACTGCTCCAAATGCATGTTAAATCAATTCACCCAGCAAAGAGTAGATTAAATACCTACTGGTTTAACAGTAAGTTACTAATATTACTAATTAAATAGCAATTTACTATTACTGGTGTAATAGTAAATGGCCAAACAAAGCTGAGCTGAAAACAGAGTGGTTACTGAAGGCAGTGAAATAATTGTTTGCTGTGTTTTCATTTATATTAGCCAAACCTTCCTTGGTGGTTCTCATGGGCTTCTTTGGTGGAGTGGGGTTTTTTGTTTGTTTTGTTATTTTTAATTTTAATCCTTTGTTTTCCTGTGCTTGTTCGTATTGAACAGGAATTACTTTTCTCCCACTAACAGGCCCCAGTTGTGATGATTGTGTAAGTAAAGGCTGAGCGGGCCCTGCCTGCAGTGCTCAGGTTGCTTAGAGTGCTCGGTGTGGGTCGGTCCTGGAGTGCTCGGTGTGGGTCGGTTCTGGACTGGTCTGTGTGGGTCAGTTCTGGAGTGCTCGGTGTGGGTCAGTTCTGGAGTGCTCTCCTGCTGCTGGCTCACCCAGAGAGGACACCCTGGGGCTTTCTGTGGGCTCTGACCCTGTAAAACCTTGAGGTGTGATAGCTGTGGGGTCTGTCAGTAGGGTGGCTTTGCCTAGAGCAGCTTGGCAGTGCTGTGCTCACATTCCCTGTGGAGTGGCTGCAGAATTGCTGTTCAGGGCCTGCAGAAATGCTCACCCTGCCTCTCCTGGTGCTCAGCCGTGCTCCCTTGGCTCTCCCCACAGCGGCAGCTGGAAGGTGTTCACGGGCAATGAGCTGGCAGCGCTGTTTGGCTGGTGGATGTTCTCCTGCTGGAAGGAGAACTGCCCCCAGGATGCTGACGTGAGCAACGTCTACATGCTGGCAACCACGGTCTCCTCCAAGATCCTGAGGGCAATTGCACTGAAAGAGGGGTTTCACTTTGAGGTGAGTGTGGGTGCTGTGGGGCTGTCCCCATCCAAACGCTGCTCATGAAAAGTGGGCAGGGGACATCCAGGCCTCTGGCTGTGAGTTGTGAGGGATTCCAGCTTGCAGAGGGTGTTCTTTCACCCACACAAGCCTGATTTCAGTCTCCTCTCTGTTCTGGGACTGGGGGATCAGTGTGGGCAAAGCTCAGTCCTAGGGACACGAATGAACACCTGGATTGCAGATGGCAGGAATGCCTTAGCTGTGGTTATCCAAAATCCTCCTCTGTGAGAGAAGGGATTTGTGCAGCCTGCCCTGCTCACTCTGAGTGTTGATGGGTTTGTAGGGAGCCCTTGGATGTTACACAATGGCCCTTCAGGTGCCCTGTGCCAGTGGGTTTTGGTTTTGGGTTTGCTTCAGGCAGGGGAGCTCCTGTGCTCTGACCTTTAATGCGCAGCTTTGTGAAGAACTTGCTAAAATAGAAACTGGGGTGCTCCCCCCAGACTGACAGTTCAGCTCCTGCATCCAAATTAAATCTGATTTCTGTTAGCCAGAAGAGAGGTAAGTGCCTGAAATCATGGCACAAACATACAAAGGGCCAGGCCTCATTTATACATGTCTTAATTAAAGCCATGTGCAATAGGAATTGTTTTGCCAAAAAATGAGGAATTGAAAATTGAAAGGAACGCTGAAAACCATTTTGAGTGACTGGCCAGATAATCAGGGTGAATGTCAGTTCCCTGTACTGGATTTGGTTTTCTCTTTAAAATATTGTTTATTTTGGGTTTTTTTTAATTGAAAAATTACATACTTGACTGAAAGAAAAAGAGAAGCTAAGAATTTACAGAACCGCTTGTCCTTCTCTAAAATCTCCCCTTCCTTTTTATTTCTAACTTCCTTCTCTCCAAGAAAGCTGTTTCCAAGCTTTTGGCTGCTTTTGCATGATTTGTGTAAACACCCCCAGAAGAGCGCTCTCCCCTGCCAACAGCTAAAAGTGTTACTTTTATATTTCTGTGGCTTTTCCTCCTGAATAACTGTGTCTCATCTGGTGAGCAGCACAGATGATCTGATGTGATCTGAGCACCACAGCCCCTGACACACTTTTCCCTTGGTTTGGTCCTCGTGTCCTACTTGAGTATCCACTAGGAAAATCCTTTCCAGTGGCTCTTTGCCTTGGACTCATCATAAACTGAAGATACAACTCGTCTGATGCCTCTTTACTGTCCCTATTCTGCTGGTCAATTAGATTTAAATTTAAGGAAATCACTTTAAAAAAACCCAGAAAAATTTCCTTAAGCTTTAGTGTTTTGACTCTGCAGCAGTCTTTCCCATTGACCCAAAAATTCAAAATATAGTTATATTTTCTCTTTGGTGTTTTGGTGGTTTTTTTGGTTGTTTTTTTTTTTTTTTTTTAGTCTGAAGTGAACAGTGGCTATACTTTTTTTTCTTGTAATTGAATCTAAATTGAAAACACATATTTTAAGCACTCCCTTTTTTCCCTTCCTCTTTTAGGAAACACTCCCTGGTTTTAAATGGATTGGAAGCAGAGTGAAGGATCTCCTAGACAACGGAAAAGAAGTTCTCTTTGCATTTGAGGAGTCTATTGGTATGAGTGCTGGTATCCCTTTAAACTGCTGAGAACTAAGAGGGGGGTGTGACTAGGAGGGACTGATATTACCTTTGAAATAAACCACACAGAAAGTGTACTTTATTTTTATCCTAATAGCTAATAGCATTGGTATTTTGCTCTCACCAGATTGACTTGCCAACTCCCATTATAAATTGTACCTGACTTGCTGATTCTGGTGTTTGCTTATCTTTCCAGCCCTCTAACCCCCAAAATCATTAGATTAGATGAGAAATCATTAGATTTCTGCTGCAGGAGCAGCAATAAAGCAGCCTCCATGTCCTGGCCAATTTTCCTTTGCAGGATCAAAGGTTAGAGCTTCATCCGGTAAATCAGAGTGATAACCTGTCAGGCTCTTTTCCCACCATCCCTTTTTTCTTCCTAGGCTTCATGTGTGGCACATCAGTGCTGGATAAGGATGGAGTGAGTGCAGCCGTGGTCATTGCAGAAATGGCAACTTATCTGCAGAGCCAGGGCCTGACCCTGGCACAGAAACTCGTTGACATTTTTGAAGTGTGAGTGATGGTTTTCATTGGAATATTCTGCTCTGCTGTTCTGGAGCTGGGAATCCTCTGTGGAGTATTTATTGAAGTATGAGTGAATGTTTGTGTCCCTGAGATGGTTTTGTGTCGTAAGTTGTTTTGGGGTTTTGGTGTAGGATGGATTACAGCCCATCATCAGTGCAGGTATCACAAAGGGGCTCCAGGAGGGCTGGAGAGGGATTTGGACAGGACACAGGGAATGGGTTCCCAGTGCCAGAATGGATCTGTAACAGAGCAGGAATGGCTGGGGATGCACTCCCAGCAATAAAACAAGGGTGCTGTTTGTCAGAATTAAGCCCTGCACTCAGATCTTTTGGGTACAAATGAGCCCAACCCCTCTGAATCCCACAATGAGAGCCTCAGTGTGCTTGCAGGTACGGGTATCACATCTCCAAGACCTCCTATTTCCTGTGCTACGACCCTGCCACCATCAAGAAGCTCTTTGAGAGGCTGCGCAACTTCGAGGGCCCCGAGTCGTACCCCAAGAGCTGTGGGGCTTACAGCATCCTGCACGTCAGGGACATCACCACGGGCTACGACAGCAGCCAGCTGAACCACAAGTCTGTGAGTTAGAGTGGTTGTGCAGGGCAGGGATGCACAGACCCGAATGCCTGGGGAGGGGGCAGGTGTGGGACGTGGTGCTTGCTCTGACACACAGGCTGGTGCTCACTCACTGAGCTTGGGGCTGCTGCTGTGTTGCAGGTGCTGCCAGTGAGCAAGAGCAGCCAGATGATCACGTTCACCTTCCAGAACGGCTGCGTGGCCACGCTGCGCACGAGCGGCACCGAGCCCAAGATCAAGTACTACGCTGAGATGTGTGCCCTGCCCGGGCACAGGTCAGTGTGCCAGCCTGCTGCTGCCCTCAGCAGCACACCCACAGGGGGCTCTCAGCCTCTGCTGCAGCAGGATTCTCTAGCAAACCCAGTTCCCCCGTTACTTAGGGTTAACAAGTGCTCAGGTGACAAAATCACGGAATTGTTCAGGCTAGGAAAGCTCTCTGGGGTCAGAGTCCAGCCTGTGACCAACCCTCACCTTGTCAGTGGGACCAGAGCATCACATCCAGGCTGTTCTCTCTCTGCTGGGGTTGTGTTTGCAGCCAGGTGGGCTCCCACTGCCTTTGGCAATGTGCTGTGTCACCCTGGGCTGCGGGAGAACAACCAGGTGGTGTTCACCTGGGCTGAGCCACCTCCAGTTCAAAACTGGGGTGAATCCAGGGTGTGTTGACACCACAGAATCCTCTTCCTCACGATTATGGAACCATGGAATGGCTTGTGTTGAAAGGGACCTTCAAGACCATTTGTTCCACCCCTCTGCTGTGGGCACCTTCCACCATCCCAGGTTGGACACTCCTGGGGTGGGGCTGCCCTGGGCAACCTGTGCCCGGGCCTCACCACCTGATTATCGCAGTATTAATTGAAATTAATTTCATTAAAGGAGAAAAAGGCCACTAGAGGGCTCTGGGCACCATCTTTTCCAGTCCCTTCCAGCCAAGGCACGATAATCCTGCTGGAAAGGAGCTTATTAAAGCAGGAGTCCCCACACCTGGCAGGGTGGGAAACACAACAGAGCAAGTCCATCCCCATCAGGTCTCGCTGTTTGTTGATTTAGTTCTGGGCATTTCCCAGCGCTCTGACCCGGGCCTGTTCTCTCCTGCAGCGACAGAAGTGTGCTGGAAGAGGAGCTGCAGAAGCTGATTGAGGCTCTGATTGAGGATTTCCTGGAGCCTGCCAAGAACGGGCTGACCTGGCGCTCTGCGTAGAGCCCGGGCAGGGGAGGCTTGGAACAAAGGAGCCCGGAGCAGAACCAGTCTCATCTCTGTGTCTGTGTGTGTGTTTCCAACAGCTGCGTTCTTTTCTGTGCAGAAGAAGCTTTCTTTCTTCTTTTGTCAGGCTTTTCACCAAACTGGGACAAGGAGAGGAGGTCAGAGGAAAGGGTGGGATTTGTTGTCGCAGTTTTCAGTCCTTTTGACCAAAAGTTTAATTAACCCACACCAATGCAAATGAACTGCCCGGGTACCTTTGAGGCAGCTGAGCTCAGCTGCCACGTCTTGTCTTAAAACTCATTTCAGGTACCTGAAACACCTCTTTCTGTGTGAGAAAAGGTTTTAAAGTTTTAAAGGAGTGATCACTCCTCACTGACAGCAAAGGCTGCTGCTTCCCTGCAGCTCTGAGACCTTCCTTACAGGTCTGCACTTCCAAAAGCATCCAAGCAGAGCTCAGCATTTCTTGTGTAGGCAAATGGTTGGCATTTTTCATCTAGTTAAGAGTTCTTCTGTTGGTAAAGGTGTTCTTGGGCATTGTAGCTTTCCTGTGTGTGTCTTAAAATAATTGGCAATGAAACAATAGTGGCAACAGCTGCAGCCTGGGGTTGGAATTGCCTGGTGCCATTCCAAGGCTTCCAAAGGAGCAGGAACTTGGTCATTCCTTGGTAAAATTGCCCCTCCTGACTACTACAGGCTCTGCAGCCACTTTTTGTCACACATCTCTGCACAACTCAATCTTTCTTGATTTTCTGTATTCATTACTTGATTTAAATGCTAGTCAGTGACTTTTTGGTTTTTGCTGGCCTGTATTTATACTGTCTGTGCATTAAAAAGAAAAAAACAACCAAAAAAAAACCAAGGAAGAAAGTGAAGATAAGACTAACACAGTTACTAAATTGCGACTTGTAATTTTTTTTTTTGTCATGTCCTGTCAGGTAATTTGTTAGAATAGCACTTTGCAAATACTGTTATTCAAGGGTAAATTTTTAACAGCTTCTCTCATTTGTTTCCTCCCTTTGCTCAAGTAGCAAGTGGGACTTGTAATCCCGTTTTCCAAAAACACCACCCAAACTGATAGTCAAGTTCTCCCTGTGGTTCTATTGGATTTTGGGCAATAAAGGCCCTGTTTTGGCAGAGGGGAGCTGGTCCTGGAAGCTCCCCGCTGTCGCTGGCAGCAAGTAAAGAGAAGCAGCAGCAATTCAGGGTTTGATGTGTGTGGAGGTGATGGGGGAAGAGCCCAAGGTGCCCTGGAGTTGGAGCTGTTGTTCTGCCACTATTGCTGCCTCTCCAAAGTGAATCCTCCCTGTGCTGGATGGCACAGGGTGGGTTGGTGTGCTGCCTCTCCATGGCTCCAGAGAGCCCTGAGGGTTGGGGGTTTCCTGCTGCCAGCAGCTTTGCACTATGTCCATGGAGAAGTATTTCAGTGTCTATGAATGTACGTGTGCTAGAGAAGGTCTGTGTTGCACAAGTTCTGACCTGTCACTGCTATTTATTTATTTTTTTGTATTTTAAGAGAAAGTATCTCCAAATTGTTCTGCCAGTGAGTGAAATGTATCTCATGCCAAAAGCTTGGGTTTCTTCTACCTTGACTGTACATTTGACTGACATGGTGGGGAAAATAGGCAAACCCAGACAGACTCAGAGGATGCTGTTGTTGCTGTCTGTGCTGGCTAGGGCTGGGAAGGCATTTCTGACTGCTGCTCTGCCTTCAGCTCTCCCAGAAAGGGTGCAGATGTGGATCCCCACTGCACTGAACTCGAAGGAGCTCCTGCCACTCCTTCCATTGGCAGCAGAGTAAAGCCTGAGGCGCTGAGGGTTCTGTTCTCCAGGCAGCGAAGAGAACAAGTGACTTGGGACATCATTTGGAACAAACAAACACTGTAAAAAGCGTAGTGTGTGTGTGTGTGTGTGGTGAGCTCAGCTGTGTGTTATTGTAGCAGTCTCGTGAGTGATGGCTGTGCTCCTACAAAGAGCAGGAATCTGCAGCTTCCCAGAGATCTGCTTTGTGTCAGTAGGCAAGCGCTAGAAACGGAGAAAATGTTTTCAAAGAGCATTGTTAGAAGCTGTTCCTAGTCTAACTATGCTTAATTATTGAAGAAAACCCAGCTGTGGGGTGTTTTGTGTCTGGGTTTTTGCCCATGGGTAGGTCTGACAGGGAGCTGGAGCTGCAGTGATGCTTTTGGGAGGACAGCAGCAGGCACAACGTGTTGAATGTACTTTCAGGGTATAATTACTATTTGCTGTTTTGAAACTGCTGCTACTGTTGTTTTCCTACTGTATTGGAACTGTTTGATATATTTATACTGTTCCATTTGTGGAACTCCTTTATCTCCTCCCTCTGTTCTTGCATCCCTTACTTCTGTTACTGTGAAGGACTGGAATTCTCGTTTCCTTGCCCTGTAACTTTGTAATGCATCGTGGTAGAGTTCACTCGGTTTGTGCACAGCCTTCCTCGAGTTGTCAGCTGTTCTTTCCCACTTCTCAGAAAAGAACAAAGGCCTTTCTGCCATGAGTACAAAGCAGGTCACAGATCAAAGGGTGCCGTGGATGTTTCTGAGATGCTTCCAGGTAAAACACACCTTGTCAGAGCTGGGCTGTGGCTGAGGCTGTGCTCATAGAGCCACTGGGTTGGGTTTAGTGTTTGATGAAATCCAGAGGGCTGGGGTTTGTCCCCAGGTTGAATTTCTGGTGAAGCTGTGTGTCCGTGGGCCTGGGGCAGGAGCTCTGTTGGTGCCTCCATGCCCACATCCCTGGTGGTGCTCAGCTATCACTTTGTGAGCCCTCCCTGCCAGGCTCCTGAGGGTGCTGGGTGTTCCAGCTCCCATTTCCTTGCACAAGTGTTTGTGTGGCACTGGTGGGAGCCTGTCCCTTGGGCAGGGAGGGATGTGTGTGCTGCCTCCTTAGGGAGCACTGGATGGTCTCTGATTTTAAAACTGCTATCACTGTTTTGTCTTCCCTGCCCCTTTTTGTCCTCTCCCCAGCTGAGAGAAGGCTCCTTGCATGGTGGCACTGGGTGGTTACAGTCCAGCTTGGTTCCCTCTGCTCAAGAATGGCTTTGTACAGGTGACTGAGGCATCTCGAGTTGCATCACTCCCCTTGCCTGGAACCTGGGGGAGTTCTGGATCTGTACTGCTGTTTACCTGGTGTCTGTTCTGTAAAACTGGGGTGTATTACAAATACAGAGTGAGAATTTGCACTTTTCTGAAGACTTTCTGTGTACTGCTATGTGGAATTAGCTGAAAGAAGTGTTATAAGTAATAAACTATTCCCTTCGTAGTCTCAACTCAGGTTTCCTTGTCTTCTTTAGCCAAACACTTGTGCCCCAGAAGCTAAGCTGGGCTTGGAGGGGTATCTATGTGGCACTTGGATAAGGCCTGGGAACAGGAGCCTGCTCAGAGCCTCCTGCTTTTGGTGGCACTGAGGTGTCCCTGGGGCTGATGGGGACCGGAGTGTCCCCTCAGTGATGGCTGCAGCTTTCATCCCGGGGAATCCTGTGTGCCTGCTGTTTTATCTGCCAAGGCTGCTGTCCCTGAGCCCCTCTCCTCCTCCCAGCTCAGCGTGGGGACAGCCAAGGGCCAGGCAGGACCCCTGGCACCTCAGGGTGCACTTGAGCAGGGAGAGGGGGAGCTCAGGACCGGCACCTGCTGTCCCTGTCCCTGCTGAACACTGACATTGCTTCCAGGACAGCAGGACTGGGCTGGTGGGAGCAGAGCATCTCCTGGAGGCTGCAGGCTCCCTCTGTGCTGCTGGCAGAGCCCCAGGACCCAGGGACATGCACCAGGGAGCAGCCAGGGTGGCTGGAAGCTGATGAGTCCTGGCAGGCAGCAGCGCTGGCTTCGCGTTCAGGTCTTGTCAATTTAAATGTTAATTCAGTAACTCAATTAATTACCAATGGGCTGAGCCCAGCCTCCATGGGCTGGGCTCTCTGGGTTCGCCCTGCTTGGCTGCTCCTTGCTGGGGGAGGATGTGGCTGGGGAAGGGCTAGGTGCTCCCTGCTGTCCCATTCTGGTTCTGGGAAAGCTGAGCAGTGCTGTCTGGAGCCTGCTGGAGCACCTGCAATCCCCCCTGAGGGCCTGGGGTGGCAGTGGGACCCCAGCCCCAAAACCTGGTCCCCAGATGGAGCCAAGGGGAGCCCCTCAACTGCAGCTTGCCAAAAGGGAAGCTGAGGCACAGGGCAGAGACAAATGGGCTCAGGGACCATCCTGCCCGTGCAGAGCAGCATTTCTGAGGCTGGCCAGCCTGAACAATTAGAAGTGATGAGGAGCAGCTAAAAATAGGGATTTGTAAATGTCAGGCTGGCGAGCGGCTGGGCACGTGCTGGAGGACAGAGCAGCTCTGCAGCCTCTCTGTGCCCGTGTGTCCTCAGGCAGGACAGGGATCTGGGGTGAGCCTGGCTCCCTGGAGCTCCCCAAACCCCCCAGAACTGCCTGATGTGGGGCAGCCTGGACACCCAGCACCAGAGGCATCTTCTGGCTCTTTGATCCTGACAGGAGCTGCAGAGGATCCCAGCCCTGCTTTGGGAGGGGGACACCAGGCCCTGGACACAGGTAATTTTCCACTGACTTTGGATAGGAGCAAAGGCCTGAGGCCCCGTGGATGACCCCAGCCTCAGGATCTGGGTGCTGTGCTGCCAAAGCCACCTGAGCTGTTCATTGCCCCTGTGTGTGCAGCCATGGGAGCCTGCTGGCACAGGGACACCCAGCAGATGGGATCCCCTCCATCTCCTGCACCCCTGCCAGCTTCTCCCTCATCCCCAGAACCCCACCTGTCCCCAGCGTGCCAAAAACTTGTTTCAAGCAGCTGGGAACAGAGGTTTATTCAGAAAAGTAATCCAGATTGGGGCAGATTAGTGCAAACACGTCCTTCCCCATCTGCCTGGGCCCTGCTGTGCCAGCTCCCTGCGGGGCTGCCTGCAGCCAGGCTTGGGGAAAGCACACAGGGGCTTTGGCCTGTCCCGAGCCCCCTGGCCACGCTGAGTGTCCCCAGCCCCTCAGGAGGAGTCCCCTCATCCCTGGTGGTGTCACCTCCAGCCCCTCCTCTTGCTGCGGACAGGTCTGTGCTCAGCCAGGAACGCCCATCTCCCAGACACATCCCAACCTGGCTAACTAGAAACATCCACAGGCAAACAGGAGCAATCCTTACTGACAATCCCACTTCCTTTGGCAGGACACAGGAGCCCACCCCTGAAGCAGAGGAAGGACAAACAGAGCACTGTCCTGGGCATGGTGATCCCAAACCACCAGTGTTTCAAAGGAGCCCTGCTGAGGACTGAAATCCATTTCTGTGGGGTTTTCCCCCTGTGCAAACCCTTCCCTGCTATCAGGGACTCCACGCTGCTCTGTTTGTGCCTGTTTCCCCAAGGTACGAGGGTGGTGTCCCTGTCTTGCTTTTCCTAAAGGAATCCGTGAAAAGCAGAGGGTGTTTTTCCTCCCTCTGAAGGTTTGGGTTAATTTGTGAGGAGGGAGGAAGGAATGTGAGGACTAAGGAGCTTGGTGCGTAGGCTGTGAGGGGTGAAGTTACTTGGGGAGAATTAATTATCATTAATTTGTGTTTCTGTAAGGACAAGGCAGCTCGTGGCTTATTTTCTTCCCTGCCTCAGCGCAGGAGCACCACAGCCCTGTGCTCAGCAAGGACAAGGGTGATGCTCCAGCCCAGCTCTTTCTCCTGGATAAATCACCAGGCTGGGAGTTTTGGCCTCTTCTGCACTAAGGAGAACCACACTCAGCC